CTTGAGTAAAATGACGATCGGGATGTCTTCATTCAGCACGTTGTGCTTGACGTAGAGTCTGCCTTTTTTCGAGACAATGTAACTCTTGGATTTACGCTCGTTGGACGAACTGTGGATGTTAGTGATGGCAGAACAAAAAAGTGTTGGACGTGGCATACCTGGTAACCGAGGCCTGGACGATATCTTTCTTTGGGTCGGTTTCGACGATAATCCTGTTCTTGCTCAACTGTTCTTGTACCAGAATGACTTTTTCTGTTCCATTGACGACAAAGTAACCACCGGGGTCAAGGGGACATTCGTTGAGGACGCTCATCTGAGCAGGCGTTTTATTCGACAGCACACACTTAGAACTGCGGAGCATGATCGGAATTCTTCCGATGGGGACTGCTCGGCGGATAACCCTTTGCCGGCCACGGACATACTCGAAGTCAACGAGAATGGGTGCGGCGTATGTAGTATCTCGTAGTCTGCACTCTTGCGGCGTAATGGTGGACTCGAAATCAAGTCCACCATCGCCTTGCTCGTCCGCTCGTCGAGGTGAGGCAACGTAGATATCGGTGAACTTGATGTAGAAGTTGTGGTCCACATCGCTTCGAATTGTGGAGCTTGACTCGACAATTTTCTTCATTTGCACCTCCACGAAGTAGTTATAGGAGTCAATGTGCTGCTTCACCAACCCTTTGACCTTCAGAAATGCCGGCAACAGGTTCCATTTGTCCCTGGCTGTATCGATCGGGTCCGTAAGTCCCTTTTTGTAGTAAAACGGTTCCAAAAGCGCATCGAATGGATCCCTAGCCTTGAAATTCGAAGCCGGCTCAACCTTCCTGGGGACGGAATGCTCGTGAGGCTGAGGAACAGGGTTGGACTGGGACGGGCGCCTGCTTTTTGTACAGTCAGTGGCTGATTTGTTTCCGGCCTAGTAGAGCAGTAGAACGGTCAGTACAATCATCAGAAGTATGGGGCTTGCGACTGGAAAAAGGTTTTGTTACCTCTGAAGGACGTCGCCCTCGACTCGCCGCAGAGGGCTGTGGCCTCTTGCGCGGGGGCATTTTGGCTAGACAGCTGAGGTGCAGGGATATCGACCAAAAAGGATATCCCAATCAAGCTACTCAGTGGTCCAAAGGGAAGCTCGCAAAATGGATTCTCATGGAGGGGAAAGATTTGAGTAATTTGGAGATGGCTTATTAAGCCGCGGGCTGCCCGGGTGGAGCTTATAGTTGCCTGAGGCATAAATCGATAATACATATCTTTCAGAAGTTTCAAAATATCTTTTCTTCTCGGTGTTATAGCTAGGAGTATGATAATTAGCCATAGAATTGCTGCCTTGCGTGGGGATAATCGTATGAAGTAGACATGTCGGGCTTATACTCTGCGATGTACAATGTACCTTAACCGTGCCGACAACTTTACGATGTATAACCAAAATAGTCATTTGAGTTCCTGGCATGTCTGTTGGTTTAGCTAAGTAAGACCTAGAGCTCTCCTGTCTTCTTTTTAGGGTGATATAGCTGGAATTCTCGGAGTCTTTTCAAAAGTGTAGTAATCGGGAATGGAAATTGTCTTTGATATATATTGAGCCGAGTAGAGTACCTCATTCCATAATGGAAATTGAAGATGACCATAGATCAAAAGAAATTGATGCTTCCAAATACTCTCTGGGTTATTGAATGCTTAAACCATGCGAAGTCACAGTTCAATCTATCTCATTATCAAGTAAGCGTACGAGGTCGCCCGGGTGAAGGATCGGAGCATACTAGCCTTGCCTCCGAGGTAGCAGGAGTCTCAAAAGGAATAGAAGAAGAAGAAGAAGAAGAAGAAGAAGAAAAGCAGGTTTTGGGCTAATGATCAAATGTAAACTGATTTAAAGGATGATTTGATATTAATTGAGCATTCTGTACAGGGTTGGATTTACGGGACCTTGCCAGCTTGTCAAGGATTTGTGCATTGATAAGGTAGTACATTTAGTGGGTCTTTGCGCATGCAGGCCACCCCCGGACATTTATGCCTGCACGGACGAATTATGGATCAGAATTGACTTGGTTCTGCTTGAGGGAGACGGTCTACAACAGTACTTTGTATAGAGAACAACAGCAGGTACTATGCAGTAAAGAAGCGGTCACGTATATGACAAAGTGGAAAAGAGGGTTCCCACCACAGATACTAAGCGCAAGGCATTCCGCTCACAGAATACTAGGATATTATTAGTAGCCATAGTTGCACTGCTTGTGTGGCATATGATTTATCGAGTATCGGGAACACTCGGTCCTTCATGTACGATATATTATTGATCTGTGGCGAAATAGGGTTGACCGCAACTTTGAAATTGCCACCGTTTATTTTACAGACACAGACTGCATCGCAAGATTTCCTTTTCTGGAAGGAATCCCACATTTCTGATGGAATGCACGGACCTATCGGCGCAATCTAATGTATCGGCCATAGTACTTGAAGATGGTATTGATCGCTATAGCAAAAGCAATTTAGAAAGTATGCAATACCATCCACACGTGGTTGGTAAGACAGCGGTCATCTTTCCCATCCGATGCGTATATGTACTCGGTACAGTATGTATCCTCCGAGGAAACAATTCAAGGAAAGCATTAGCAATGCTACCGACCGGGGTATATCCGTTGTTAATAGCCTAGAAGGCCCATTGTAGGGCTTTTTGCCGCAGGGGTTGGTTGGACGGAGGGGGTGGGACCACTCTCTACCTAGGGAATTTCAGATATTATTCGCCATCGGACCTTTAGGAGCAGAATCATAGTGTCTTCTAGTAAGTGCATTTTACCACTGACCTCGGATTGTGATTCGTGATTTAAAAGCGAGGCAGCCAGTCAATTTCGGAGGCGTAAGTCAGGCGTTGGGCATAAAGAAAGTAATTAAAATCGGTTCAACTTTGGGCGTCAATAAGTGGGTTTTGAGTCTCATCGTGATCATAGTGGTTATTAGATACTATACCTCCGTAAGTAGCTAGCGCACTAACTAGTTCGTGCACAGTTGGGGTTCGATGTACCAATGCACTACGGAGTACGGAGTATAGCTTGGAGACTTCCCAGGTCAAAAATCAGCACAGACCGTAGCGAGTTCTCAGCTCAGATCAAAAATCATAATAATCGTTCTAAACAGATAACCCATCGATGGATAGAGGGGTAAAAGTGGCCCATGATTGGCGATCCCCCTCCGATGTGAATAAATAATAAGGATGACTGGGGTTCAGAGGATCCCCCGCCCCATTGGTATGCTTGTTATTCGGTGGATCAGGGGCTTCAAGCGACACGGATCAGCGCTGGTGGCACTTACACCGCTTGTCCTGACGCTGCGAGCCTTATCGTGCAGATTATAGTATGGCGAAGTTGAAAGTGTGAAGATGTATGTTGTATTCGAGAAATTCGAGAAGTATAAAAGAACGGGATATGGAAAGAAATAAGTTTAAAAAGGGGAGAGCAGATCCGTGGAACGAGAACAAAGGAAAGGAAACCCATGGGTGAGGAGCTTGTCGCGAACCGTTTTTCATTTAGCCCCTATTTCTCTTTTTGTATTCTGATAGTTCCAAGGTTATTGGGATATAATCTCCAATATCTCTTTCAACAGTGATTTGAAATCCAGGATTCAGGTACAGGCGCCTAATTACCCTAGAGGACGATCCGCTGTCACATCTTCGGGCACTTCGGTCACTTCAGTCTCCACAAGTGGCTGCTAAGAGGGGGGCCAAATGCACCTGCAGCTGCCACGCTTTGTCGACCAGCGCATTGAACCCCCTTACCGGAGTCCTAGCACAATGTTTCTCTCGTGTATAGCCCAGGTTGTCCCCAGTTCACCTTGGAATTGACCATTCGTAACGTCTTCAAGGCCTGGCGGGAGCTATAGCCCATTGACTACCCCGGGCTCTTCCCGGGACAAAAGCGCCCAAGTCGCACAGACAACGGAGGCTCTCCAATCAATAGAACCCGATCAATTTCCGAGTTATTGCTGGCCGATCATCTGCTGTGGCCGTCTCAAGTTGTGTCGGCAAGATACTATACGGAGTAGTAGAGAAGTATACATAACGTGTATTGTTTTGGCATCTCAACGAATACATATAATATAACCTGGAGAATACACAACGTAACTAAATAATGTAAGACTGAAAGATCGAAAGATCAACTGCCACTAAGCTCTTGGATAAAAACAAAATGGAAATAAAAAATACAGAAATGAATCGCAAAAAAAGAAAAGAAAAAAAAAAAAAAACGCGAGCACAGT